GCAGGAGGACCCTTTTGGGCACCTGAGATAGGAGGGTCAGTAATAATAGAAGGAACTGTAGCTATCTGATTTTCTCCCCTCATTCTTCTCGCAAATCCTTGCCCATCAACCTCACTGCTCTAGTCACTACTGCCTCCTGTTTCTCAACATTCACTAAAAAAGCTCATTCCTTCCTTCATCTACCCTTCCAGCTAAGTTTCCATTTCCCTTCTTTTTTCAAAAGCCTACCCTGAGTTTCTGCCTGACCTACTGATAGTCATCCAGGCTTACCCACTGCAGGTGAGACAAGATGATGCTGTCAGGCCTCTCCACTCAACCGTGTGAGCCCTTCCCTGCTTCACTTAATTGCACCGTTTTCCATGAACAGTCCTTGTTTAGTCTCTGGACTCAGTTTGGTATTTGATGTCTGGTCTCTCAAGTTCTTATCTAATTGCTCTCCATTAAGAACATGGTGTGTTATCACCACCGTAAAAACAAAATCTTTGGGATCAGACAAAATCCAAGACACTCACACTCATATGATCTTGGGTGTATCCTTTGATTTCCCTGAGTCTTGGTTATATCATCCATAAAACTGGATGCAGGCTTCTGAAGGGTAAACTAATCCTTATAAAATGCTTACTTAATGCCTGGCATATAGCAGACACTCTCTAAATGTCATCTATGATCAGTATTATTACTGTTGCTGTTATTTGTTTAACCTACTGGCTTGTCTCCCCTCCCACCAAAACCATAACACCCGGTCTTTGAAAGACAGAGAGGTTCAGAGTTTGAGACTACCTAGTGTAGTCATACGTTCCAGTTCTCCTATTCTCCAACCTCTCTCCAAACACCTGTGTGTATACTCATTTTTCACTATATCTGTCCCAGTTAGAATCTTCAGTGAATCCCATAGTTTCCTCCTTTATGGTTCCTGACAAGAGTTGTGATGCTTGATGTAGGTCGACATCCCTACAAAGGTCAGTTCTGATCATTTAGTTGCAATGATGGACCACAGATAGGAAGTAAGCCCAAGAATTCCATGCTTCCCCACAAGTAAGCCACCAAAACAGGTTACAACCTTCTACCATAAAAACCAGATGTGGCCAAATTTATCCCATTCAGCAAGGAAAGACTGAAGAAGGGACTGTTGTGGAGCTCAAGGGACACCCTGACAGCTCACACAGGCTCTGCATACAATCAACACCAAGCCAAAACTAGTATTTGCAGCCTTAGTTTCATGAACTATCTCCCACTTCACATGTTCTGTACCTCACTCATTGATACATTTCCAGTGAGCCTGGCCATGCTTTTGCTCATCCTTCCATGTCCTTGCCGTTGCCTTATTCCTTTGATTCAGTGTATTTCTCTCCTTGGCTTTGGTTGTCCTTCCAGCTATTTTTGGTCTTTGCTTTGGGTTTAATGAAATTACAAACTACCCTAACCAACTCCTTCATATTTATACCCTGATTTAACTTGTCCATGATTCCTTCTTCCAATATGCAGCTATCACTCACCCCCAACTTTGACCTGTTAGCCCCATAGATGAGACCATAAAAAGTAGCAATCTTTGATATAAATGACTTTTTGGATAATAGTTCATCAGTTATATTTTTGGATCTACAAGCAAAACATCTGGGACATGGTCACTTACTCTATCATCTGGAAAATTGTCATTGTCCTCCTTTTCCTGATGAGATTATATCAGCTTGGATATGGGGCTTCCCTGGTGGCTCAGTGCAAGTGAAGTGAAAGTCTCTCAGTCGTGTCTGACTCCTTGAGACCCCATGGACTACACAGTCCATGGAATTCTCCAGGCCAGAATACTGGAGTGGGTAGCCTTTCACTTCTCCAGGAGATCTTCCCAACCCAGGGATCAAACCCAGGTCTCGCATTGCAGGCGGATTCTTTACAAGCTGAGCCACAGGGAAGCCCAAGAATACTGGAGTGGGTAGCCTATCCCTTCTCTAGGGGATCTTCCCAACCCAGGAATCAAACCAGAGTCTCCTGCATTGCAAGCGGATTCTTTACCAATTGAGCTATCAGGGAAACTCAGACAGAATGGTAAAGAATCCACCTGCAATGCAGAAGATCTGGGTTCGATCCTTGGATCAGGAAGATACCCTGGAGAAGGGAATGACAACCCACTCCAGTATTCTTGCCTGGAGAAACCCATGGACAGAGGAGCCTGGCAGACTACAGTCCATGGGTCGCTAAGAGTCAGACACAACTGGGTGACTAACACTTTTTTTTTTTAATCACTTATGGCTGTGTAGGAGGTGGTAATTGACTTACCTTGGAATCAGGATCTTCCAGCTTCAGGGAATAGTGGCTAAGACCACAGTAATTAAGAGCCCAAACTCCAAAGTCAGATGACTTAGATTTAAATCCCACTCCTGCAACTTACTACTATATTTTGAGTCTTTTCTTTTCTCTCTTTTTTTTTTTTTTCAGTACTTGGGGTTTGATTATTTGGGTGCTATTTAAATAAACAAAGTAACAAGCATCTTGATCATATCAAGTTAGAAATATAAGAATCATTCACTAAATTTTAGATATTGGCTCCTCTGCTTTCTCTGCCTCTGCTTTCCTCAGTTTCTCTCTTTTGCATTCATGAATTCCTTTGCATGTTGATTCAACTAAATTGTTTATCTATCATGTTGTTTGGCACTGTGCAGGGTTGGATAATATGTATATATATATATATGTAGTTATCTTCCCAACCCAGGGACATATATATAAATGACAGAGGGACTTGGAAATAAATACAGGCATTAAAATGCTAAGAGTGATGAACTTCCCTGGTGGTCCAGTGCTTAAGAATCCACCTACCAATGCAGGGGACACAGATTCGACTCCTGGTCCAGAAAGATACCACATGCCACAAGGCAACTAAGCCTGTAAGCCACAACTACTAAAGCCTGCATGCCTTAGAGATCGTGCTATGCAATAAGAGAAGCCAACACGGGAAACCCAGGCACCACAACTAGAAAGTAGCCCCCACTCGCTGCAACTAGAGAAAAGCCCACACACAGCAACAAAGCACAGCCAAAAATAAATTTAAAAAATTTAAAAAACCTCATTACCTATGAGCCCCCAATTTCCCTTTAAAAAAAAAAATGTTACAGGTGCTGAGATAGAGACGTTTCAAGGTACATTGGAGCATAAGGGAGGGCACAAGTTACACCTAAGGGGACAAAGTGGAGGACGATATCAAGAAGTAAAGGAAGTCTTTGTGGAAAAGATTGATGCCCAGGTCAAATCTTGAAGCTGTCCTGCTTTTCACTTGCAGCCTCAGACCAATTTGAACCCTGAGGAAATCTGATTAAGACAGTCTCTACAAAAAAGCTCAGAAATGTCACCCCATGTCCTGGATTCCAGGGGCGTAGTTCCAATGGCTGGGGCTCCCACATTGCCTCCCTGGTCTCCTTGTTGGCCTCAGTTAAGGAACTTGAAGTCATCAGGAGTAACCTCCAAGTCCACAGTCATAGCTCTGTTGTATTTCTCCCAATACCCCATAAAAGGCTCAGTTCTTAGTATTAAGCTGCAGTCTTTATCAATGTGGTATCCAAATCTTTCCCAAACACTTAAGCCCTTCTTAAGTGAGCAGAGCCCTTGTGGCTTGTCTTTGCCAGACTGTTCTCTGGGATCTGGGTCTTGTTTTGTATCCCATTTGGAGTTCTGCCATCCTCCCAGATGGCCAACTATCTACTCGATCTGTTTGAATTCCAGGCCCCACACTGGGGCCCCCACCTAACTGGAAAACTTAGCCCCAAGTATATCTCGATTGAGACTAACTTTCAGTAAAGACACTTTATTTGACAAATTCTAGTTAGTCTCCTCTGAGCCCTCTTCTTACCCTGATCTTACCCTTGGTGCCCATCCTGTCTTTGGCTGCCCAGACCAGTTTTTGCAAGAATTCTGCTAAGTTTAGTGTTTCCCACCCTTGATGTCTGATCACCCTTGACATCTGATCAAGTTCCTCATCCTCCACTTTCGATGTATAAGTGGAGGTCCTTGGTCCAAAGTCCTTGGTCTGCCTTTTGCAAGAATCATGCTAGGTCAATTTAGTACAAATTCTCCTACCTTTGGTGGCTCCTTGTAGGAATTTTCTATCCCATCCACTGATACCCTTCCCTTGGCTACAAATCCCCACTTGAATTTGCTGTATATGGAGTTGAGCTTGATTTCTCTCCCCAGTTGCAATAGATTGGACACCTATTACAAGTAGTCATGATTAAAGTCTTCCTTACCATTTTAACACTGTCAGAATAATTTTTGTAACACTTGTCATGCCTTTCGGACAATAACCAGGATAGCCCATGGCCCAGCTGTCCTTCTGGTCTGCTGCAGGAATCAGGCCTCATTCCAGCTCCTTCTCACCAGCCCCAGGCTGACACATGTGTAACAATACAGCTCATATGGGGAATTCCCTGGTGGTCCTGTGATTAGGACTCCACGGTCAGGATGCCATGTTCTCATTGCTGAGGGCCTAGATTCAATCCCCAGTCGGGGAATGAAGATCTACAAGCTGTGCAGCAAAAAAAATATACAACTCAGGTAGACTCACCTGTAAAATATGGATCTGGGGAATGGGGGCCAATTCTATTCCAACCAACATTCCCTAATTCATTCAGTCAACTGGATAATCAAAACATATGAATAAATTTAAGTGGTTTCTAAACATAAATATATTTTCAAAGACCTTCCTTATTTGTATTACAGACATTAACAAAATACATACACTCAAGGCATAAAATATCTGTCTGGTGCTCTTTTGCATTAAAAAAAATCATAGTGGATGCAGATCTCTGATGCTTCAGTGGTGCCATAAACAAATTCACTGGCCTGTTTTTGGACAAAGAATTATCTGAAATTTTACCTCTTGGGTTCCAAGAATGTTTTTGTTGTTAGTAGAGAGACTTTATTGTAAAAGCCTCCTCATCTAGACCTCTGGTGATTTTTCATGTTTTATTCATCTCTTTCATTTGACTTCAAGGGAGGTAAGGACTTGATGAAATTCAAAATTTACTGAATTTTGTCTTAATATCAGGTCCAGAATTTTCATCTTGAATATCTCCCTTCATTGAGCTTGTTACTGAAGCACTTTGAAGGAAATGGCGAGTTAGCCATTCATTGGTTCTCATGGCTTTGCAGTGGAGGCAGGGCCTTTCCCTGATTTGGTAACCTCCCATATTCCTTTGCCTCTGAGCTATTTTTCTCTTCTTAATACTGGCTGGTGATGGGTGGTGTTCACTTTCACTCTCCTTCCATGAGGAGGCTCCGGAGTTAGATTCTTCACTGTCACACTCAGTAGTATCACTGTCATGTTGGGTCTGATTCACTTGATTGAATTCAGAATAGCGCCTCGCTCGTCTTTGTTCAAGACAGGCATTTACCAAAGCCACTTCTGAGTCAGTTACAGGGGTAAGTTGGCTCTGCTTTGGTTTTTTCATCATTTGCAAAGAATCCCAGGCACCCTCTTTGTCTCGCCGCTTATTGGAAATATCTTTGCTTTCTAACAACAATGAAAGAAATCAACAAGTTAGGCACATTTTTGGTTACTATAACCTCATCTTACCTAAAAAGGAAGCCTATGATGTGGCTCACTCTTTGCTGCCATTTGCCAAGCCACCACTTTTCCCCACTCATTTGCAAGTGTTGGCAGCTGACTTCATTTTCCAGTGCCATACCAAAAGGATCAAAACCAAAAGGATCAAATAGATGCTTGACATATTACTTTTGAAGTTTCATGGACCCTTGAAATAATATCAACAGAAAGGTCTCCAAACTTTTCTGAGGAGGACACTTTTAACCTTTGCCTTGATGTTTTTTTTAAAAAAATATTTATTTTTATTTACTTATTTGGCTGCACAGGGTCTTAGTTGTGGTATGTGGGATCTAGTTCCCCAACCAGGGATCAAACCCAGGACCCCAGCAATGAAAGATCAGAGTCCTAGCCACTGGACCACCAGACAAGTCCTTGCCTTGATGTTTTAAAGATTCAAGTGTGTATATGAATGTGATTTGGGTAGCAGAAAATGAAAAAGAATTTTCTCTGTATACACTGGTGTAGTGGAGTTGGCTCATATCAGCCAGCTCACAAGAAATGATAAACTTTCCGGAACTTTGCAAGACGGCTGTTAAATGTAGCCATTAGTAAAAATTAAATTATACATGCTTACCACTAAATCAATTTGCTACAAATAAATGTAATAAATACTCAAAACTCATCACTTCCTTAATTATTTTACTACATTTCATTATGAGGTTTACTCTTAAAGCTACTATATATGTCTGTTCTTTCTGGATATTAAAAATACTATGTAATGATGTACTGTTATACATCTCTTCCTAACTCCCATGTTCAGTGACATTATGTTGGTAACCTGAAAGGAGTTTTGATGGGATAAAAATCAACAAGCACTAAGAATCAGGTCTTCATTTACAGTTCTGTAGATTGTCTGGACAGACTTCCCAGGTGGCAGTGGTGGTAAACAACCTGCCTACCAATGCAGGCGATATAAGAGACCTAGGTTCGATCCCTGGGTTGGGAAGATCCCTTGGAGGAGGAAATGGCAACCCACTCTGGTATTCTTGCCTAGAGAATCCAATAGATAGAGGAGCCTGGTGGGCTACAGTCCATGGGGTCATAAAGAGTCGGATATGACTGAAGCAACTTAACACACAGCCCAAAGTAGTGGAGAACAAGTTACTGATGCAGATAACATTTAAAGGTATCATGCCTATAGCTGCTATAATGTGAATAGCACCCAAAATGAGGAAATATTCTTCCAGAGTATTCTAAAACTATTATCCAGCTCAGCAAAGAAGTAATTCACATCATTAACAACCAAGTTAAGTTCCAACATACCTCTTTCTGTTTCTTTTGTACTATTCCTTAACTTAAAGGAAAGTAACAGTCATATTGGAACTAAACCCATTTATCTATTGCAACTATAGGTTGGCTAAGGCTGAAAGTGGCCAAAATCAAAGAAGTACTTTGTGAGAATCAGTGTATGTATATGGTATTTACAATAAAGAATATTTTATATTTTATTATTTGTAAATTATCTGATATACATACTTTATACTAGTAAAATTTTAAATGATACATACTACACACATTTTTGGAGAGCCAGTTGTTAAAGACTTATCAGCACACCAGTGCTTGTATGTGCTTAGTCACTCCAGTCGTGTCCAACTCTCTGCGACCCCATGGACAGTGTCCTGCCAGGCTCCTCTTGCCTGGCTTCTCCAGGCAAGAATTCTGGAGTGGGTTGCCATTTCCTCCTCCAGTGAGAAAGTATGAAGTGAGTGAAGTGAAGTCACTCAGTCGTGTCTGACTCTTCGCAACCCCATGAACTGTAGCCTACCAGGCTCCTCTGTCCATGGGATTTTCCAGGCAAGAGTACTGGAATGGGTTGCCATTTCCTTCACCACCACTGCGTATAAGTTATTCAAAAAGATGTCATTTATAGCTCATAGTCTTGCAGAAACACTAGCAATAATTATGTGTGAAAGGCAAGCTGTGTGATGGGAGAATGCTGAGAAATGAAAAGACAGCTTGAGCTCTACCTACCAGTAATGTATAGCCTCTAGCAGCTCTGCTGAAGTAGCTAAGCTGTCCTGCACCAAAGCATCCATGGGCCACCAGAGTCTGGGGAGGCTCTATAATGCTCTTGTGACTGCTTATCTCTGTTGTCTGCTTTCCACATCAAACACATTTTTTTGTTTGTTTTAGTCCAATATCAAATAAGTATTGGCTCTTACCTTTACTTGGTGAAGTACTTGTCCCATTGTCTTCATCCTTTTTCTTCTCAGACATCTATTTAAGAAATACAGATTAGTAATAGTGATCTCAGTTGGTTGTTTTTTACTCATATTTACTTTGATAGTGTCTATTTTAAGAAGTCAGTGCGGTCCAATAAATACTTACTGAGTTCTTATTATAGTGATCCTACTTCTGCAGACCATTAAGAAGACCATGCTTTGACAGCAGGATCTACCAAAATGTTTTGAACAGCAAAATGGAAAAAAAGATTGAGAGAAAATAAGACTGATGACAACCTATAAGTTATAAAGTTTTCCTGAACTCACTGACATTATAGAGAAATACTGTTTAAATGTCATTTAAAAATGACTCAGACCATAAAGAATCTGCCTGCAATGTGGGAGACTTGGGTTCAGTATCTGGGTTGGGAAGATCCCCTGGAGAAGGGAATGACTACCCACTCCAGTATTCTTGCCTAGAGAATTCCATGGACAGAGGAGCCTGGAAGGCTAAAGTCTATGGGGTTGTAAACAGTCAGACACGACTGAGCAACTAACACAAAACATAATCTTAAAAAGATGATAGTACTAGGATTAGTTTTAAATTACTTATAAAAGGACATTTTATCATGTCACATTATGATAATTCTTTAAGATCTTCATATGAATTCATACACTTACTATCTCCTAAATCCTTCAGACACATTCCTCCAAAATGCAACCATAATATATTACTTGTGAACATGGCAATCAGAAGAAATTGATTTCTTTGAATAATTCCAATTTCAAATATTCTGCCCCAATACTCCATAAATATATTTGTCCCATTTTTCAGATCAATATTCCACTTTTTGATTCTAAAAATTGTTTTGCCCACTCTCCGACATGAATCACAGCAGGATCCGCTATGACCCACCTCCCAGAATATTGGAAATAAAAGCAAAAATAAACAAATGGGACCTAATGAAACTTAAAAGCTTTTGCACAACAAAGGAAACTATAAGTAAGGTGAAAAGACAGCCCTCAGATTGGGAGAAAATAATAGCAAATGAAGCAACAGACAAAGGATTAATCTCAAAAATATACAAGCAACTCCTGAAGCTCAATTCCAGAAAAGTAAATGACCCAATCAAATAATGGGCCAAAGAACTAAACAGACATTTCTCCAAAGAAGACATACAGACGGCTAACAAACACATGAAAAGATGCTCAGCATCACTCATTATCAGAGAAATGCAAATCAAAACCACAATGAGGTACAATTACACGCCAGTCAGAATGGCTGCTATCCAAAAGTCTACAAGCAATAAATGCTGGAGAGGGTGTGGAGAAAAGGGAACCCTCTTACACTGTTGATGGGAATGCAAACTAGCAGCCACTATGGAGAACAGTGTGGAGATTTCTTAAAAAACTGGAAATAGAACTGCCATATGACCCAGCAATCTCACTTCTGGGCATACACACTGAGGAAACCAGATCTGAAAGAGATAATGTGCAACCCAATGTTCATCGCAGCACTGTTTATAATAGCCAGGACATGGAAGTAACCTAGATGCCCATCAGCAGACGAATGGATAAGGAAGCTGTGGTACATATATACCATGGAATATTACTCAGCCATTAAAAAGAATTCATTTGAATCTGTTTTAATGAGATGGATGAAACTGGAGCCCACTATACAGAGTGAAGTAAGCCAGAAAGATAAAGAACATTACAGCATACTAACACATATATATGGAATTTAGAAAGATGGTAATGATAACCCTATATGCAAAACAGAAAAAGAGACACAGATGTACAGAACAGACTTTTGGACTCTGTGGGAGAAGGCGAGGTTGGGATGTTTCGAGAGAACAGCATGTATATTATCTGTGGTGAAACAGATCACCAGCCCAGGTTGGATGCATGAGACAAGTGCTCAGGCCTGGTGCACTGGGAAGACCCAGAGGAATCCGGTGGAGAAGGAGGTGGGAGGGGGGATCGGGATGGAGAATACATGTAACTCCATGGCTGATTCATGTCAATGTGTGACAAAACCCACTGCAATGTTGTGAAGTAATTAGCCTCCAACTAATAAAAATAAATGAAAAAAATAATAAATAAATAAATAAATAAATAAAATTGTTTTGCCAAAAAATACACATACAAAGCAACTCTTTCAGAATAATCAAGTACTTTAGAAATACTCATAACACTTTTGACACATAATTATTCTGGGAATCTATCACTGAGAAATAAACTCCAAAAGAAAGTTTTGTGTAGAGACATATTCTCCCAATGTAATTAGGATAATATAAATACAAAATTCAAAAGTAGACAATAGTTAAATTATGATATAATCATATCATATATAGTTATAAAAATTATTACAATAAGGCTATGTCATAACATGAGGAAATAAATGTTATAATATTAATTTAAAAATCAAGATGCCAATTGGTATATGCAGTATGATCACAACTTAGCTAAAAATATGAAAAGAAGAAATACTAAGGAATGTTAGCACAAGAGTTAGCAGTGTTTCACAAGAGTTAGCAACAGTGGCTTTGAGGGTTGAAACTGATTTTTTTCCATCTAATCCTTCAAACTGTTTACAATTAGGGGAAAAATGAATTTATGTAGAAAGCCAAACTACCTTTGGATTGAAAAGTACCATACTTGGGTATTTATAACTGCAGTCTGAATGATCTTTGAGATCATTCTTTTCTTAATACTCCATCTTCACAAGGTTTAGCAAGTTTCTCTAATGAGGTACCTCTTTGTTTTTTGGGTTACTGAAATAATTTTCTGAGAATTTTGAATGGAATCCTCTTTAAGGATACCTTTTGAAGAATGTTTTTGGGTGGCCTTATTTTAAATGTAAAATGTTCAGAGGTGATTATGAAGATATTAGAAGTTTATGAACTTTAAAAAGTTAGGTTTATATTCTTTTCATGGAAAGCTTCCATATTTGAGTTGACGTCAAATCAAAATACAATCACAAAATCAAAAGAAAGATTTTACATCAAGCTAAGTGGAATCATATGAACATGGTTACCAAAAGTATTTTAAGTGTCTCTGGGTGTGATTCAGTTGAGTGAAAACAGAAGAGCCTGCCCCAAAGGGGAGGGTAGGACGGTGAGGAGCTCTGGACTATGGCTCTGCCTTTCTGCCACTGGGATTTTACCAAGCCACTTAACCCCTTCTAAGCTCCACTTCCACATATGCAAAAAGAGGAGCTTGGACTGGGACTGGTACTGTTTGGAAAAATATCAGCACTAACTGTCTGAATAAACACTAAACATATAAACTAAATATAGCATATATAGTCTATGAAAGCAAAAGGGTAAATGTGTCTTAAAAAGTAGCAAATCCAGAGATCAGTGTGCTTTATGTTGGAGGATAATTATCACCACATTTCCATCACTCTTTTACCATTACTTCAAGGTTTGTAAATAAAGGTTCATAATTTAGCAGAGAAAATTAAGTTCAAAGTGAAGGAAAAATTTCATCCTTTTTGACTAGCTCGCATGTGGTTCTCAGATTTCAAATCTGGGACCCTTTAGAAGAAGCAGTTGAATGGATTATAGCTACCATAAGGGTATAAAGTGAAAGACAAAACCTCTCAGATAATTAAGGTTTTAATCAGCACTTCAGTTCAGTTCAGTTCAATCACTCAGTCGTATCCGACTCTTTGCGACCCCGTGGACTTTAATCAGCACTGAATAGATATAATTCAACATTTCAACTATGCTATGAAACAAACAAATGATATGGCAGGAAACGTGGGTCTATTCTGTCATAACCACTCATGACATGGGACAAGTCACTTAATCTCTTTGGGCTTTATCAATGGAAAAAAAAGAAAAAAAAAAAAAAAAAAACAAAGGAAAGATACTGATATCTTCCTTGCCTACAAAGAGGAGGCTGAACCATATGCTCTTCTCAGGTCCTTGAAGCTCACTGCTCTACGACTCCAGCAAGCTGGTACAAGTGTGGGAGCAGAGAAATAACTTAGACCTCTCAAATGGTCTTCATGATGAAATTGTCAAGAATCATTTTCAATTTTTTATTAATTTTCTAAAGTAGCTTTTCTTGCCAGTCTAGACAAGTTCAATGTCCTTAGCTAGGGAGTCTAAGACCTATATAAGTTATCGGTATTCTAAATATTCTTTTGGCAAAATATCTACCTTAAGCATACAGACTTTAGCTGAAACTTTTTACAGGAAGGAGGTGGAGAATAGTCTTTGATTATTATAATGGAATCTAGCTGGCATAAACATAATATGCCTCCTCTTCTCCATCCATCTAGAGCTGATAGACAGCACTCAGTCTAGCTGACACTTGCCAGCCCAGTGCTCTGGCTGTAAGGCTAAATAGTAGTGGTTTTATTAATCATCAGCCTGGTAATAAAGGCCAGCAAGGATTCCTTATCAGTGACTTATAAGAGCTTGGTTACTCATAATATATGGGAGCATCAGAGCTCTGATTAAGTGGACTATCTCACTCCTTGTGTGTGTGTGTGAAAGTTGTTCAGTCGTGTCCAACTCTCTATGACACCATGGACAGTAGCCTGTCCTCTGTCCATGGAATTCTTCAGGCAAGAATACCGAAGCAGGTGAAAGAAAGAAAGAATGTCACTCAGTTGGGTCCGACTCTTTGCAACCCCATGAACTGTAGCCTACCAGGCTCCTCCGCCCATGGGATTTTCTAGGCAAGAGTACTGGAGTGGGTTGCCATTTCCTTCTCCAGGGGATCTTCCCAACCCAGAGATTAAACCCAGGTCTCCCGCATTGCAGGCAGATTCGTTACCATCTGAGCCACCAGAGAACGCCAAGATGGCATTTTCTTCTCCTAATGGGTGGTCCAGAGGGGTGACTTAACTTTAGTTAAGTCCTGGATCTTATTCTGTGTGGATAATGTACTGCCTCATTCCTACAACATGTATCCTATAAATATGACAACTTTGGTATCTCTGATTAGAATTACATGGTAACAAAAGGAATTTGGAGGTCATTAAACAGTAAGGAAGTTTATCCCAGCTTACTTAGCATGTGGAGAAACAGAACAATCTAAATGTCTCAAAATTGCAGATTTGCTATGGTGCAACCATAAGACAAAATTATGCAGTCATTAAGAGTGCTTCTGTGTGAAAATAATTTGATGAAGTATTATTACAACATAATGTTAAGTTTAAAAAAGTAGGATATGAAAATATATACAACATAATGCAAACCATCTAAGATCAAAAATAGAGATAAAGAGAGATACACTGTGATACAAAAAAAAAGAACTAGAAGAACATACTCCAAAATGTTAACAGTGCTTATCTCTAGGAAAATAGGAAACAGTAGATAAATTTTCTTCATCCTTTTCTATATTTTTGGATCCTCTAGAATGATACTGCATTATTTTCAAAACTAGAAAACAAACTTGTAAAAACTAGTTTCACCACTGTAAAATTTGTTTTACGGAAATGCCCTAGTATACAGTAAATCTATTTAAATGTATATTATTTAAAATGAAAAATGATATCCTACCCAGACAGAAGCCCGAGAGACGAACATCAGGACCAGTATAATGACGAAATACCAAAGCAGGAAGTTCCCTATTGCACCACAAGAATCATCCTTCCGGCATTCATAATCTTGATTTGGAATGGTAAAACTTACAGGCATGGCAGGAGGATCTACCTCCCAAAATAAAGAAAAAAGATCTCCCATGATGACTTCTTGCTTTGAAAATAAAACATGCTCATAGGGCTGAAGATGACTGGGAAGTACTTGAGGTGTATGACAACTTCCTTGGCAACCTATTATGACATATACACTTCATTAATTGTGACAGGAACTGACAAACATTTCTTGGATTGCTAAATTTTTGGAAGATCTGTGTAAGTCACATCTATGAAAGTTTAAGGTAATTCCCTATACCTCAATATGGTGCATTCTGCCTTAATCTTTTTGTGTGTGCGTCTTGAAACTTGTATACATGGTATTTTCTTTACGTAAATCTAAGTCTCTAAGGTATCCATTCATTTTTCAGTCTCTTTGATATATATCATACCATTGTAATTTAACATCTAGTTCTAATGTGTTGTAGACTGAACTGTGGTCCCCAAAAAGCCTATGTTGAAACTTCAAGCCCTGATTTGACTATAATTGTAGATAGAGCCTTAAAAGAGGTAATTAAGGTTAAATGAAGTCATAAGGATGACTCTGTCCATGGACAGAATCCTCTGTCCATGGGATTCTCTGGGCAAGAATACTGGAGTGGGTTGCCATTTCCTTCTCCATTCTAATTTTGTACATTTGAACAACTTTCAAGTTAGTTTATCCCCATGGCCCTAGTCCAATATCACTGGTGTTCTTATGAGAAAAGGAAGAGACATTTAGAATGTGCAAGCACAGGAGGAAAAAAAGACAAGACTATGTGAGGACACAGAAGAGGGCCATCTGCAAGCCAAAGGACACAGGTTCAGGAGAAATTAGTCCTGCTAGCACCTTGATCTTAGATTTCCGACCCCTACAACTGTGAAAAAAATAAATTCCTGTTGTTTAAACTATGCAGTCTGTGGTATTTTCCTATGGCAACCCTGGAAAACTAATACATAATGGCAACAATGTATCTAAATTAGGTAGTAGTAGTGTTCCTGTCTAAGTCTTGAATAAATGCACAGTAATTCACAGATTACATTAAGAGGGAAAACATAGATGTATCTGTTGTGAGTTACATAAAACATGTACAATTTCTTTCAGCGTGTGTTGGGGAGGAAACTGGTATTGGAATTTTGTGTGTGTGTTAGTTGCTCAGTCATGCTCTTCGAAATCCCATGGAGCCCACCAGGCTCCTCTGTCCATGGGATTCTCTGGGCAAGAATACTGGAGTGGGTTGCCATTTCCTTCTCCATTCTAATTTTGTACATTTGAACAACTTTCAAGTTAGTTTATCCCTAAATCTAAAACTAGAGCAAACCATGGTTGCTGCTGAGGCAATCTAAAAATTATAAAAATTCCACTTTAAAAAAATCCCTTAGATCTTTAACAGCATAGCATACCTACAGATTTTCATTAACATGCAATACCACAAGGAAACTTCATTTTCTTCTGTTGGACCTTAGAAGCATTTTAGGAAAATTTCTGGCCATTGGGACGTGCTGTGACAATCCCCCTAGCTTATCAGGACACAGTGTGATGTTTCTATTAGAGGCACGCTTCTCCGCATCCCCAAAAGCAAGTCTCCAGACCTTGTGCATCCTGGATCTTGACTGTTTCAGGCCCGCGTCATCTCCTCCAGGAAGCTCGCGGGGATCTCGGGCTGGGCCCGCCACGCTTCCTCGGGGCTCACTGCACTCCACCTCACCTACCTTTCTAGTGCACCTTCCCGCCTCCCCATCCCACCTCAATCCCCTCTCTGAGCTACTCCAGGCAGAAAACAGAGAAAGTTTTACTTTCACATCATCCCGCGCGCGGTTCAGCGGCACATTGTAGGTATCTATATTTGTTAAATAAAAGCAAAATGAACTCCCTGATGAATCTTTTCCTCAGGATTAGAAGTTCTTCCAAAGAATATGCAGGAAAAATAAAGACTGTTTCTTTTTAAAACCTCAAAACCACTAACAACTTTAACAAAACACAATTTGGTTTTTCTTGTTACTGCTGCAACCTCATTACACGGATATTTAAAACTTTACAAGGGGCCAGGACACTTAATTTTTTTTAACACAGAGGTGTGAAAAATGCTTTCTCATTGCTGAAGGTGTCTGGACACATTACCAAGTACTCTGTATCCTACAATTACCCACACTGCTTAAAAAATCTGCTCAAAAATATGAGTCCATAAACGCCCAAAGGAAGCTAAAATGATATTAATATATAGAAAATCAGCTCGTTATAGTTATTACTTTTTACTGTGGGTTCAGAACCTGGTCTGAATTTTTGCTGCTCAGCTTTCTCCCCGCACCAGAGTGGGAGCCACAGATCCGGAGGCTGTTTCCCTGGTAACGCTCCCAGCCTCCTTCCCCCGCCCCGCCTCCTCTTCCCGCGAGAAGAGACAGTCCAGTCCTTCCGGTAACTGTAGACGCACGAGCTGGTCGATTTCGCTGTCGAGCTTGGTTTCGCGCATGTGCAGTGGAGAGTGGCGCGAACCCGCCGCTTCCGGCCGATGAACACGGTGCGTTTTCGGGGTCATCTTTGTGCTTCCTGGACTAGGAGTCCGCGCGGGCCTTAGGAGTTTAGCGCCTGCAGACCTGGCGAGGGTTCAGCCAAAGGGGAATGTGGCCAGACCACCCACTGCCCGTAGTGGAAGGGAGGAAGGAAACCATAGGAGTTGCTAAAGTTTGTACTGGGACAGCCAGGGAAGGAAGCTTTCTGCACTGGGGAATATTGACTCCGGGTCAGGGTGGCGGGAAGGGCACTGGTCTGTACTTAATGGGATTCGACTCCATAGAGCAAAAACAGGCCTTAACACTTGAATGCAAGAGATTAGGCCTAGCGAAACAGAGGAAGTATAGATCCCAGTGTGGAGCAAAACTGCTCACTGTCCCCATTCACCCTTACTCCCTTCACACCGCGAGTATTCGCCCTTCTAAAACTTAAATCCTTATACTTTTATTAGCAACACAAAACGGGGATGGCGTGGTTGCAGAGTTGGTAAAGATCGTAGGCAGTTAATGATTTCTGCACAAACATGTAGCAGGAGAATAATGACAGATTTTATTTGGAATATTTTCTCACCAAACTTGGTATTTTGGCTTTCTTATAGCCCTTGGCCTGGTCCTTGTTACATATTCCAAAAACACAATATAACGTAATTGTACAACACTAACCCTTGAATTGCAAAGTAAGACAGTTTTCTTTAATTGGAAATGTTAAATTACTCTCTGAAGGGACCACCCAGTTCTCTGCTGATTACACTGTGGTGCCAATGAAGCTGTCATTTAGGGTTCCTTTTTCATATATTAAAGGGTAAAAACAATTTGGAAAAACATTTGAAAGATGAGGAAAAATATGTACAGTTTTAAGTTACCCACTGAGCGACTGAACAACAATAATAGACACAAGTTTGATTTCTTAAATGGAGCAGTAGTTCATTTTGATTAATTCCTATGCTTTTTGATTTTGAACAGATGCAAGGGGAGCCAAACCCAAGTGCTTCCCTTATTGACAGAACCATCAAGATGAGAAGAGAAACAGAAGCTAGGAAAGTGGTTTTAGCCTGGGGACTCCTAAATGTGTCTATGGCTGGAATGATATATACTGAAATGTAAGTTAATTAGCCCCAAAAAATGCGAAAAAAGTAAAAACTTTTTAAAAACCAACAGTTGGTTCCACAGGTTTTGTGTTTTGATTTTTGGTGTGTGTGTGTGTCTTAATATTAAAAAACCTTTCTGATTTTTTTCAGGACTGGAAAATTGATTAGTTCTTATTATAATGTGACATATTGGCCCCTCTGGTATATAGGTAAGTAATTTTCACTGTGATTTAGAGTTACTTCCAATGAAAAACTGCACTCAAGTTGAATTCAGCTTAGTATTCATCCCTTCATTCAACACATATTTGAATGCCTGCTATGTTCCCAAAACTGGGAATACACCAGGAAGTCTGTATCCTCATGGAAGGAATACTCTAGTAGAAGAGAGAATCAAGTTAATAAACAGTACAATTCCAGATAATCATGAGTTCTGTGAAGAAAAATAAACTTTGGAGCTGGTAGGATTTGTATTTGTTATTCTCCCTGAATTACCTTTCCTTACTTCTCTACCTTTTCACCTTTCAAGACCAACCAGATTTTTTTCCCATTGATACCTTCCTCAGTTTCCTCATTTCTTCCTCTCTCTGCTCTTCAGTAGTCTTTGTGCCCATTAAAATGAATTCCAAAGTCTAATACACACATTAAAGTCAGTGATAGGGAAGTGAAGGGGCAAGTGGAAGAGCAAGAGTTTTGAAATCTGTATACCTGAGTTAGAGTCATGGCTTCAGCAACTAGCTGTGTGCTATTGCAAGTCACCTGACTTCTTTACAACTGTTGGCAGAGCTTTAAAATGAAGGTGAAAGTGTTTATTGTAAAAGGTAAGGATTAATGATAATATTTTGAAGCTCACTGGTAAATGCCCTACACATTATAGACATTCATTAAATGTTAACTGTCATGAGGAATAAGAATACAGTTTTTAATTTTGTTGTTGTTAATTTGCTGAAGTATGCATGGTTTTGTTTCCCCCATTTAAATGTTCCACTCCACTTTTAAAAAATAAATTGTTCTCTTCCAGAGCTTGCTCTTGCATCTCTCTTCAGTCTAAATGCCTTATTTGATTTTTGGAGGTATTTCAAATACACTGTGGCACCAACAAGTCTGGTTGTTAGCCCTGGACAGCAAACACTTTTAGGGTTGAAAACAGCTGGTAAGTGTTTTTTTTTTATACCTTTTGCAAAGGTGAGGGGAAAGTTTGACAGTAAATCTCTCAATTTAATTTTCTGATAACTCAGCTAGAAGGGACTTCTACGCCACCTGGTTCAACTCTATTAAACAGTTTTACAATAAATTGTCTTAATATCAGTGATTATCACTCCTATTTATATAAATTAAATAACATTCATAGCCTCATGGAAGTTTGTTCCATTGTTTAATTACAGTTACAATTAAATGACTAATTTTTGCTGCATTAAAGCTAGTTTCTTATTTTGAAGTCGATGGAAAATGGTACACAACCACTTGTGTCCTTTGATAATACTTTATGTAATTTAACAGCCAAGTCACACTTACTTGCTGTTTCCCTGACAAAAAAAGATTAAGTTCATTTGTTTTCATAGAAATTTTATTTACCGTATGTGGGCTCAGTTGCTCAGTGGTGACGGATTCTTTGCAACTCTTTGAAACTCACTGGTCAAACTTTTGATCTATGGACTGTGGCCCTCGGGGCTCCTCTGTCCGTGGAGTTGGTTGCCATTTCCTCCCCCAGGGGATCTTCCCTACCCAGGGGTCGAACTCTTTGTCTGTTGTGTCTCCTGCATTGGCAGGCAGTATACTTACACACAATTATTTTTTTGTTCCTTCTAGTTGTACAGACTACTCCTCCACGTGATCTGGCAGCAGCCCAAATCCCCCCCTCTCCACCTTCTCCTTCAATTCAGGGTCAGAGTGTGTTAAGTTATAGCCCATCTCGCTCACCGAGTACCAGCCCCAAGTTCACCACCAGCTGTATAACTGGATACAGCCCTCAGCTGCAAGGTCTGTCATCAGGTGGCAGTGGATCTTACAGCCCTGGAGTGACCTACTCCCCCATCAGTGGTTATAACAAGGTAGGACTCTTATCTCCTACTATTTTACTTACTATTTCTCTCACTACTACTATTTTGATGACTATTTTAGAAGTGGGAGGTTTGAATTGAAAATCACCGAGTGAGTCAAAACTCCTTTTTTTTTAATCAATGAAGAAACCCAGAACCAGTGGGTAACTGACTTGCCCAAATTTGCCTATTTGAGAGCCAAAAATAGGGCTTCCCTGGTGGCTCAGTGGTGAAGAATCCGCCAGCCAGTACAGGAGACGTGGGTTTGATCCCTAGTCTGGGAAGACTGCCATGAGACAACTAAACCTGTGCCCTGCAGTTACGGAGCCTGCCCTCCAGACCTGGGAGCCACAACTGCTGTGCCCATGTGCAGCAACTGCTTAAGCCCCTGCGCCCAGAGCCCCTGCTCTGCGGTAAGGGAAACAACCGCAATGAGACGCCCACACAGTAGAGGGAAGCCCCCACTCTCCACAAATAGAGAAAACCTGCACGCACAGCAGTGAAGACCCAGCACAGCCAAAAATTTAAAAAAAGAGCCAAGAATAGAATCCAGATTTCCTGACACCAGTTAGAAGTTCTTTATATCACATCTTAAAAGAATCCTCAAAAAAAAAAAGATTTAGCTTTTGCAAAAGACAATGTACTGAGGGTCACCATCTAGGATTTTTCTGCAGACTCTTTATTTATTTGTTTGTTTAATTTTATTTTGGGGCATACAGCATGGCATGTGGGGTGTTGGTTCCCTAACGTCTCTTGTTAAATGAGAAGTGTCTAGAAATGAAAACAAGACCTGTGTGCAAGTCTTTGTATGGACTTAAATTTTCAGCTTTTTTGGGTAAATGCGAGGGAGCAGGATGTTTGCTATTGTGTGGTTTAGTTTTGTATGAAAGTACCCAACTGTCTTCCAAAGTGACTACTGTTTTGCATTCTTACCAGCGATGAATCCAAGTTCCTGTTACTCTACATCCTTGCCAGCATTTGATGTTGTCAGTGCTCTGGATTTTGACCATTCTAGTTGGTGTGTTACTTTTTGAAAGTTCAAAAACCAAGACAAAGAAATAGCTATTAAAGAGAAATAAAATCAAGTTCTTTTATTTTGTACAGCTGGCAAGCTATAGTCCCTCTCCTCCTTCTCCGTATCCTACCACTGTTGGTCCAGTGGAGAGCAGTGGATTGAGATCTCGCTACCGTTCCTCACCCACCGTCTACAACTCCCCTACTGACAAAGAAGATTACATGACGGACCTGCGAACCTTGGATACTTTTCTTAGAAGTGAAGAAGAAAAACAGCATAGAGTTAAGCTGGGTATGTATATATTTTATTTTGAGCTAATATATATATTTGGGGTGTCATGTTATCTTTCATCTATTATTTTTCTTACTTTGATCCCGTGCATAATCGTTTTAAGTCTTTTTACTAATACACCTTGTGTAGCTTAGCAGAGGAATTTATTTTGTTTTTGTACTTTGTGCTGTTAGAATCAAGTTTACCTAAATTTAAGATGTAAAATAGAGCTGAGCTAACAGAAATCTTAAACCTTTGATTTACGGTTAAAAGCTTTTTCATACAGCGTAATTTATAATTTGTTTAGAAGTTGAGGTTATAAAATGTTTTTGAAGCAGTGTGTGGCAGGGCATGGTGAAGTGAGGGTTGTCTCCTGGGGTAGTTCTTGCGAAGGTCGGTGTGGGAGGGAGGATGGAGGGAGTGTGGATTTACACCAGACGTGCTGCTCTTCTTCAGAACATTTTTTAACTTGTCTCTCGTTTACCTTGGGAAACAATGTTAGCAAATCTTAATCTCTTTGGGGTGGATTTGATTATTACAAAGTCAATTATTTGAAACCAAATTAGGTTATCGAGCCGAGAGATGATTTTTCCCCATCAAGAACTTTCACAGAAAGTGCCTTTGGTGCTAAAGCACAGCCACAATGAGGAAGCCGGTTATTGGACCATGGCTCTTTGTGTCACTCGAACTCTCTCTATTGATTTTTAATTTCATTTTGCCTGAAAGTGCCACAGATGTCAAAGAAACAAATCAATATTACCTTGTTATTTGTCGATACATGCTTTTTCTTCTTTTTAAATTTGGAATTATTTCAAGGAAACTGAAAATTATAGAGTAAAATACAAAGAACCCTGTGTACCCTCTACATTGCCTTTGTCACAGCCAGATATTTTCTGGCTTCCATTTTTATTTCTTCTTTGACCTGTACAAGTTATTTAGAAATACTGTTTGGAAGTATTACTGGTGATTGGTATTGCTTTGAATTTCCAAATATGGGAAATGAAAGGCTTCGTTATCTATTTTTTTTCCCTCCCCTAAGTTAATTGTACGGTGACTAGAGATTTTGATCTGTACCCTATTAATTTTTTTTATAGTTTTTGAAACTTGTACTTAGGCCTGCTATTTATGACCACTTTTTGTGAGTGGATCTTAGTGTGTTGAAAAGAATGCATAGTCTATAAATATTGGGCTTCATGTTTGTTCATTGAGTCAAGCTTCATAATGATATTCTTAAATTCTTTATTAATTTTTTTCTGCTTAATTTGTTACTAAGAAAGTGTGCTAAATGCACCCACTGATTGTGTCCCAGTGAATGTCTCCCTGTAACTTTCAAATTTGCTAAATATTTATGAGATTACGTTACGTGCATATAAATTCAGAATATCCTTCTAGTCAGTTTTATCTTTCTCTCTTAGGCTTTTTACCTTTGAGTCTGTTGTGTCTGACATTAACAGCTATACTAATTTTCTTTTGGGTATTATTTGCCTGTGTATCTATGACGGTCTGTATACTTTTAAGCCTTCTGTGTCCATAGGTTTTAGGTAATTAAGTATTTTGTATGAGTTAATCTGTATTAATTAATATTTTGTGGAAAACTACTTTGAGACTATAAATATCGTTTTCCTTATCAAATATTCACTGAATAGCTTTAACACCCTTTTAAGACTCTTTTCAAAGTTAATTATTACTGGCTGTCATGGTATTTCTCTAATTTTTTCATTCCTTTATTTATTCCTTTTATGTTTTTTATAAACTTTTTGTGTGTGTGTGTGGTTAAATTTACATAACAGTTACCATTTTAAACATTTTAAGTGTATCATTTAGTATTATGTACATTCAGTTTGTTGTGCAACCACTTCTTAAATATACATATTTGTTAGTATTCTCCTGTAAGGTAGAGCTTCTTTCCCTCCAGATAGGTTATTTATTTTGATGCTTAGATTGTCTCAGATTTGGCTAGTGTGATTGTCTAGCTTCTGTGTTCTTCTGGTATCATTCTTTGAACACTCCTCCCCCCTCCCCCATCCCTACCCCCAGCCCACCTCCCATAAGCTATTCCAGGCTCTTCTTTCTCTAGTAACTAGCTCTGGAGTTAGTCTGTTTCTCCAGGGGTCATGTTTGCTTCTAGTGGAGAAAGATATTTCGTAATTAATGTCTGTGCACTGGATATGTCATGGTTAATCTTAAGTCCACCGTGCAGACAGCTAGGAAACAGATATGGAAACACACACATACACACACTTGTATATTTCTCCATCCATCCATGGAAGTGAAAGTGAAGTCTCTCAGTTGTGTCCAATTCCTTGTGACCCTACAGACTGTAGCCCACCAGGCTCCTTGGTCCATGGGATTTTCCAGGCAAGAATATTGGAGTGGGTTGACATTTCCTTCTCCAGGAGATCTTCCTGACCCAGGGATCAAACCCAGCTCTCCCACATTGCAAGCAGACTCTTTACTGTCTGAGCTACCAGGGAATCCGTCTATATGTATTAAAAACCATGAGTTCTATGGTACCTCCAATTCCAGTCCAACTATACAGGGTTTGTCTTAGCCTCCTCTGTTGACATATTTATAACTCTTTTCCCCAATAATGAGAAAATGGGCACTCACATATACTCTTTGTTTGTTGTTCAGTCACTAAATCATGTCTGACTCTTTGTGACCCCATGGACTGTGACCCCATGGACAGAGGAGCACACCAGTCTCCTCTGTCTTCCACTATCTCTTAGAGCTTGCTCAAATTCACGTCCATGGAGTCAGTGATGCTGTCTAATCATCTCATCCTCTGTCGTCACCTTCTCCTTTTGCCTTGTCTTTCCCAGCATCAGTCTTTTCCATTGAGATAATTCTTCGCATCAGGTGGCCAAGGTATTAAAGCCTCAGCTTCAGCATCAGTCCTTCCACTGAGTATTCAGGGTTAATTTCCTTTAGGATTGACTGGTTTGACTTCCTTGCAATCTAGGGGCCTCTCAGGAGTCCTGTCCAAGACCTCAGTCCAAAAGCATCTATTCCTCAGTGCTCAGCCTGCTTTATCATCAAACTCTCACATCCATACCTGACTACTGGAAAAACCACAACTTTGACTTATACACATCTTTGTTGTCAAAGTGATGTCTCTGCCTTTTAATACCCTGTCTAGGTTTATCATAGCTTTCCTTGCAAGGAACATCTTTTAATTTCATGGCTGCAGCCACTGTCTGCAGTGATTTTAGAGCCCGAAAAAATAAAGTGTGTCACTGCTTCCGCTTTCTCCCCTTCTGTTTGCCATGAAGTGATGGAACCAGATGCCATGATCCTCGTTTTTTGAATGTTGAGTTTTTAGCCAACATTTTCACTCTCCTCTTTGACCCTCATCAAGAGGTTCTTTAGTTCCTCTTTGCCATTAGAGTGGTGGTGTCTGCATTTATGAGCTTGTTGATATTTCTCCCGGCAATCTTGATTCCAGCTTATGCTTCATCCAGCCCATCATTTCACATGATGTACTCTGCATAGAAGTTAAATAAGCAGGGTGACAATATACAGCCTTGCCATATTCCTTTTGCAATTTGGAACCAATCCGTTGTTCCATATCGGGTTCTAACTTGCTTCTTGACCTGTCCACAGGTTTCTCACAAGGTAGTTCACATGCATCTCCTAAAAACAAGGACATTTTCCTTTCTGACTACCATATGATTTTCATATTTAAGTTACTACTATTCTTCATATTTACATTTCTTCCAGTGGACCCAATAATGACCTTGGTAGCTCTTTTCTTTTATTGATGGAGGATCCAGTCAGGGACCATATATTTTGTTTAATTGTCATGCTTCCTTAGTCTTTTTTCATCTGGACCATTTATGAGTGTTTGTTCTCTTTTTTGTCTTTTTTGACATTTATATTTTGAAGGTACAAGGCCAGTTTTGTAGATTTGTATTTGTGTGATCATTTTCTCATTGTTAGATTCATTTAAAATATTTTTTGGCAAGAATAAAACTTAGCTGATGGTTCCTTTCAGTGCATCACATCAGAGGATAGATGATATCAGTTGTCCCTCTATTGGCAAAGTTAAATTGGATCTCCTGGTCATAGTGATGGCACAGTTTGTTCATAGTAGCTTTTCCCTTCTGTAATTTATAAACAATCTATATATAGTATGATGCTTTTGAGACTTATGACTATCCTGTTACCTTAAGCAGTCTTTCACTCCAGCAGTTTTAGCATCCATTGATGATCCAGTGAGTTACTACAGTAGTAGTTGCAAAATGGAGACTTTCTAATACTTCCATTTTTTCAGTGTACGTTTAGTAGTTTGGCATTCTGCTATAAAGAAGAGCATTCTGTTCTCCTCACCCCACAATTTGTTTTATCCAGTTTGGACTGATGGTTCTGTCTTTTTAATTTAAACTTTAAACTGCTGTTTAACTCATTGAGTTTTTTGTCTTTTTTTTTTTTTCTGGTTTCAACATTTTATTTGCTTCTCTTTGGTATATACCTGATTTATTTTAGAGTATTTTGCTTTGTTCTTATGTTTTCCATTCTTTTTCTTAGTCACTTTAAGCATACTTTAAAATTCCTGTCCAATAGCTCCATTATCTAAAGTTCTTGGAGATTACATACTAACATTTTTTTCTTGTTGACACATTTGCTTGGAGACATGTTTCTTTGTGTTTTACGCATTTTTCATTTTTGGTAAGCTCATCTTCGGTAGAGTTTCATCTGTGCTTTTTCTCTCCTTGGCAGGCTGGATGGAAGCCTTTTGTTTCCTCCTGGCAGTTTCATATTTGCCTCTATCAGTGATTGAGGAATATCATTGATCCTGAATTAATTTAAGTAATTTCTGGGCTTGGAAGTTCTTGGACCTTACAGGGAGTGTAAATGGGCGCTGTAAACACACATGAAGGTGGATCTGTAATTTTTAAATCTCTGGGGATTTCTTTTTTAAAAACAACCTAAGAGAGACAGGCTTCCTTGTTACCTCCTGGTGTCAGTGAACAGGTGTTCTCTTCCTTATCCACTGAGAATGCGGCCCCCTGAGGTCCTCGGCTGTGTGCCAGGTGCAGGGAATAGAGGCAGGAAGGAGGTCTCAGTCTAGCCCGATACCTCTCCTGGACCTGTATGCACATTTCCAGTTCCCAGGCACTGAAATGCACTCTGATAGGTTTCCCAAAGCCTACAGAATTCTCCAGAGCAACCGCAGCATCACTTCACACGCAGGCCACTGGCCACTCTGATTTTCAATTCCCTCTTCATTTTTAGCGGCTATTCCATTACATATTTGCAAGCTCCATTGTTCATTTAAATTACTTATTTTATTATTCTTACGTCTTTGGGGTTGTCCAGCTGTGGATGTTGTGCTGTTTTGGTGGTGATGGTCATTACAGAGAGGCCCTATTGTGTCACTTCTTGCTATATATTTTCCCTGTACTTTAGCTCATGTTCAACAGATACAAAAATGTATTTCTGTCATCTACATAGAACTTTTGTCATATAAAGCCAGTCTTCTTTGAAATTTTCCTAAGTTCAGGTTTGCCCTCAGAAAGCATGATTATCATTTTTAAAGTTAACAGTCAAAATAATTAGTCAAAATAGGATAAACTGTTTGCTCTTATCATGACCCCATGTCTCTTCCTTTTTAATTTCTATTTATTTAGTCGTTGTACTTGTTTAAAACTTTTCTTGACATTAATTCATTCCTCTAAGTCATTGTTGCCAGAAGTTCTACTTGTGATATTTCTTTATTATACATAGTTATTATTTTTATGCCAGTGTGGAGCGTACTTTCACCAGTGCTACCAGCACAAGACTGGCTCACCTCCAAGGTTTTGATGCTGTGACTTGAAATACTGCCACATGTCCCTTTCATGATTTCTCATCCTCTATGCCTCTAAAACTCAAAAGAGAACCAGTTTTATTATTTTACAATCATGCCTTTCAAAAATACTGCTAAGATTAAAAAAAGTAGTCTCTATTTGTGATTTTTCTGTGAGGGTATGAAGTATCAATTGATATTTTGACATCAGTTAGACTTTGAAAAAAATAAACTCTTCCTAAGTGTCAATGGACGTGAGTTTGACCAAGCTCCAGGAGATGGTAAAGGGCGGGAAACCTGGGGTGCTGCAGTCCATGGGGTCACAAAGAGTCAGACACGACTGAGTGACTGAACAACAACAACAAAGTATCATATAGTTGTCCTTGAAAATTTGCTGTTTATTAAGGAATTGTGCTAGATGCTGGGCTTCCCAGGTGGCGCAGTGGTAAAGCACCTGCCTGCTAATGCAGAAGACATGGGTTCAATCCCTGGGTTGGGAAGACTCCCCTGGAGTAGGAAATGGCAACCCACTCTAGTACTCTTGCCTGGAAAATTCCATGGACAGAGGAGCCTGGTGGGCTACAGTCCTTGGGCTTGTAAAGAGTCAGACACAATTGAGCACACATGTGCTAGATACTAGGGAAAAAATTACTCCCTGCCCTCAAGGAGCTCAAATTTTGTTTGGGAAAGGAGACAAACCTGAAAGTGTGGTAAGTACTGTGGTAAAGTCCCCTGTAGTATTAAGTCCCTAAATGTGACTGTTTACGTTTCCTAAAAGTAAAATGATAAACTTAGAAGTGTAATCTGCAGATGGTCTCTTGATACAACACAAGCATTACTACAGACTATAAATAGACCACAGTGTAGTGCTGGGAAGAGTGAGTTTAGCTGCTAGCCAAAAGACTAGTATATTAATAGGAGGCTGTAGTTATCCCATTCAGAAAGAGCTTCTAAAAATTCAAGCAAGAACTTAGCCTATTTATTTCCTGATAAAATTTGTCTTTTGTTTCTCTCTGAATCATTGGAAGGTCTTAGAGAATGAAACTAGCTTAATTTTACAACAAAAATAAGCAGACACTTTCAACCACTTAGAAATCTTATGGCTGTTAAAGTGATACTGTTCAGAAAAAGTTCTTTTTAATGTTTAGCACTAGCACTCCATTTCTCTAAAGAAAAGATAATGTTTGGAGGAGAGAAGGCTTTGTCTTGGGTTGCCATTGCATAGGTTCCTAGCTTCCCAGAGCTCATATACCAGCCCCTGATATCAAAATTACTACAACACACTGTGATACTCCTTACATTCATCATTGTAGGAAGCCCAGATTCTACTTCGCCTTCCACCAGTCCTACTTTCTGGAACTACAATCGTTCTATGGGGGATTATGCACAAACTTTGAAGAAGTTTCAATATCAGCTTGCCTGCAGGAGTCAGGCGCCATGCGCTAACAAAGATGAAGCTGATCTCAGCTCTAAACAAGCTGCCGAGGAGGTAAATGGAGAATGAAAATGACTTGATGTTTGTGATTTGCAGGTTGTTCGAAAGTCTTCTTTTCTACTGCTGGAAATTGTTTTCTGTGACATCCACTTTTACTGGCTAGAAATGTAAATTTGGCACATGTTATACACTAGAAAGGGGCCTTTCTGGTGGCTCAGATGGTGAAGAGTCTGCCCGCAGTGTGGGAGACCTGGGTTCAATCCCTGGGTCACAGGATCCTCTGGAGAAGGAAATGGCAAACCACTACAGTCCATGGGGACTCAAAGAGTTGGACACAACTGAGCGACTTCACTGTCACTTTCTCAAACACTAGAAAGACCCCTAGCTAACTTGTGTACTGAAAATTGAATTATATTCTACATTTTACTCTTTACGACACAGAGTTAACATTAGTGTCCTACCTAAAACATTTTCTGGCATTCATTCATAAAAAGATATTTCAGGTATTTATTTGTACTTAACATATACAAGATTCTTGCTCTTAAAATACATTTGGATTAGAAAATTTGACTAGAATATACATTTGATATAGAACATTTTGTAGTTTCATCAGTTTAGTAGCAAATAAAGGATCTGAATTTTCTTCTTAAAAGGAAGAATGTTCTTTAAACATACAGATGTAAGGAATTTTAAATGTATGTGCATGAGTAGCAACTACTACATGTTAATCAGGTCATGAAGTTTTTTGATCATGAAGTTTTTTGCAAAGTATTCCATATATTTCTGAGGGTGGGGAAAGGAATGACTGATAACCTGGCAAGACTTTTTCTCATTGATTGTTCATTCTAAACATTTTTTTTAATAGGTTTGGGCAAGAGTAACTATGAATAGACAACTTCTTGATCATATGGATTCATGGACAGCTAAGTTCAGAAATGTGAGTTTTGATATTACTCTGTGGACGATATTAATGCCTCTTCATATACAAATCAGTTATTAGACTGTCAATTGGAGATGTTAATTATTAGACTATCAGAATTAAATATTACTAAAAGTGCACTATGGGTGACACACATAAGGATAAACATGGTGTTTACCAATATGGTATCTGCATTCTTGGGACTTTTTCCCCTTCAGTACTTAGGAAATCACTGTATCTTGAGAGGGTAAAGGAAGAGTGTTATTTAGTTGTTAAGATCTTCCCTTTCCCAACATCTCAATTTTGCTTTTCAGAGAGCTTTCCTATCAGAGCCTGTTGTGTGTCTAGACATGTGAGGGAAGCAAAAATGAGGTCATTATTCTCTGAAAACTTCAGTGTTAAAGAACATAACATATACTTGAAGCTACTTCAGAGTGTATCCTTTTCTTCAATTTTTCATGAGAAGAGCCTTCTAATCTTTGGCCTGGAGGTTGGCAAAAGCCAGCTCTCCCACATACAGAGTGAGTGAGTTCCCTGGTTTCAACCCTACCTCATTCTATTGCTCTCTCTAGTACCCACATGTCCCCGGTCTAGGGGGTAAATTGGCCCCTCCTTCACTGCAGGAAGCTCCACTTAGACTCTGTAGAAGCTTCTTCCACTGTTTCATCCTCCACCATTTTCTCACCGACTCCCCATCTTCTGGAAATACTATATATTGAAGTCATTTGTACTCGTTTTCTGTTCTTTGGCTATAATTTACATAGGGTATCAAGAGAGGGAATGGTAAAAATAGTAGGCTACTTTATTGAACCAGAAGCCTGGTTGGCTTTTTTGATTAAAAATTCCAGAGCCAGCCCTAGAACTACTCAGTAAGGCCTTCTAGGAGTGAGGCCTCGATCTCTATCCTGCACCTCAGACAATTTTGTTGCAGCCTAATTGTGGCTGGCAAGTAGGATACATTTAGTAAGTGTTGGAAGAATGAACAAGCAAAATGATGTCCTAGAACTGTACTTCCTTTTATTTCCACTTACAGGCTTATCTAAAAAATGCTGTTATATTTAAAATACAAAGTCTTGGTCAGGAGTATTATCTTGGAAGAAATGCAAACACAATCCTTTATCTAAATTCCTTAGGCTACAATGTTCTGAAATTTAGGGGTTTTTTTGTAGTTTCTTTTGAAAAGCAGCGTATACATATACCTTATATTTTATAATACATTAGCAGGGTCTTTTTAGTACTCAGTGATCAACCACATTATTGTTTCTGCAGCAAAACATATGAGCAATCATGCTGAGTAAGATAAAGTCTAAAAATAGTTCCATAGGAATTCAATTCAGGTCTTGCCAATATATCAAATTTTCTTGTTAACTAAATTATAAAAACACATCATTTTCAGAGGTTTTTTAATTCAAAAAATTTAATAAGAATTGTATAACTTGTATTTGATTTGGAACTTTTTTTCATCCTTCTGCTTTATGGTTAAACAGAAATGTGGAAGCAGAAAGGGTAGTTGAAGCTGGTGTTGAACACACACCCAAAACCCATAACACACAAACCAGGTTGGGTGTGGATTCTTTGGACAGTCTTTTCACATACCAGGATGAGTTTGATATCAGCCATGCAAAATGGCGTTTGAAATTCCTAGTCCTAAAGTGAATAGTATAATATTCACAAACTAGTTTTAAATATAATAATATCAGTTTTCCACATGGTTAAGGAATTGAGGGAGCCTGCTGAGAGGTAATCAGTCATGCTAGTTTTAAAAACTATTAACTAATCACAAACCAGTAAAAAATGCTACATGCATAAATAGGTAACTAATTACCCTAGAAATATAAACTGAAGATGATCCTTTTAGCTAAATATTAATATAAAATCATAGAAGAATTTAAGAAAAACTTCACATGTAACTGTAAATTTTATATCTTCTTCAAAAAACAGGCAAACAGGCATATCTGATTTAAGAGTATAACTTCATTAACTTATATTCTGTTGGCATATTTACTTAACTCTGTAGACTTTGGGTGCTGTTACTTCCATTCTATTTCACTATGTACTCTATTAATATTCAAGTACAAGACAGTAAAAAAAACTTTCATGAAAATAATCTTTTGAGAAATGCTTTAAAATAATGTGTGTGAAATCATTCATCTCCTTTCTCCCTAGTGGATCAACGAGACAATATTAGTGCCACTTGTACAAGAGATTGAGTCTGTCAGCACACAGATGAGGCGAATGGGTTGTCCAGAGCTGCAGATAGGAGGTGTGTGAGAACAGAGCCCAGCATTTGAGTTCCTTCAGTGAATCTGCCAAGTGGAAAATTTCTTCTTGTAATGGGTTATTTAACAGCATCCTTTGTTACCTTTCTTTTTTTTTTTTTAACATTTTCCTGATGGCCAATAATACTGAACATCTATTCATGTGCTGGGCCATTTGTATATCTTCTTAGGAAAAACACCTTTTCACATCTTTTACCCATTTTTTTTTTTCGCCTTTAGCCATTTTTAAATTGAGTTGTCTTTATTATTGAGTTGTAGGTATTCTTTGTATATTCAAGATACAAGTCGCTTATTAGATATTAATTACAAAATTTTACAAAGAATAAAAAATGTATAACAATGCTAATTTTAAATCCCCCATTTTCAATTTATCTGCTAAAAATAAAACTGTTAAGGTTTAGTATAATATAATTTGCCTAAAGTATATATACTCTAACTTACTTAGTGCTAAGTCATTAAGTTTCAAAATTATAAGGAGTATTTTAGTCAACCAGATCTTTCTAGAGAACGGATTTCTCTTTGAAATATGTAAAAGCTTTGAATTGCATATTAACACTTTCCACTTGCTTTGGGTATCTTTTCATCAGTCTTTATTCTCTGGGTTAAGTATAGAATTGTACATTGCTAAAGTACTGGCATCATCGACTCAGTGGACTTGAGTTTTAGCAAACTCTGGGAGATAGTGAAGGACAGGAAAGCTTGACGTGCTGCAGTCAAGGAGTCACAGAGTAAGACACAACTGAGCCACTGAATAACAATAAAATACCTATTTACTGAGTACCCAGATGTTTTTGTTTAGTTATTTATTTGGCTGTGCTGGGTCTTACTTAGTTGCAGCATGTGGGATCTAGTTCCCTGACCAGGGATCAAACCTGGGCCCCCTGCATTGCGGAAGTCCCCAGATGTTTTATATATAATGTACACAACATTCACATCAACCTTGAAAGCTAGCTTTTAGTGCCTATTTTATGGAACAGGCCGCTAAGACTCAGAGAGGTAAAGTAACTAGCCCAGTGTCACAGAGCATTGATTTGAGACCAAAGGTCTCTGACTCCAAAGTTAGAAGGGTTGCTTTCTAGGTCTTTGTAGTATTATTTGAACTTAGTTATCTTTTTTGAGATTTTTTATAAGCTATAAAAGTAAGTATCTTTCACATTTTATCAGTTTGATATGCTTTTTGGAAAAGAACAGCATGTTTTATCACTGCAAAAACAACATGTGTATGTTCGCTGTAGCAAATTTGAAAAGAGAAGGAAATGGCAACCCACTCCGGTATTCTTGCCTGGGAAATCCCTTGGACAGAGGAGTCCAGTGGGCTACAGTCCATGGGGTCACAAAAGAGTTGGACACAACTTAGCAACTAAACAACATAGAAATACACAAAGAATATTACCTGTGATTGTACTTCAGGAGATAACCACAGTCAGTCAGTTTTTTTGTTTTGTTTTTTACTTTAATCATGAAAACTGTTCAGTTTTAGTTTTCATAGAAAGATCTTTCAAGAGGGAGGGGACATATGTATACCTATGGCTGATTTCATGTTTTTATTTGGCAGAAAGCAACAAAATTCTGTAAAGCAATTGTCCGTAAATTTAAAAAAAAAAAAAGGAAAATCAGTAAGTTTTAGTCATAGTCATGTATTCTTTTTTGGAGGAAGATACTATGATACTGTATATATCAATTGTACGTTATATCATAATTTAAGAACATTAAAATGTGAAAAGTATGTATTTGGGAGTTGAGCAAATAATATGTATGTGTATATATTTTTAATTGAATTGAAGTCATACCTCCTTTTTTCCCTCCACTTTTTCTTTTTGTTAAGTATTTATTCTCCAGTACTATTTTTTTTTCCAGTACTATTTTTATGGCTAGTTTATATTTCTTTTTTTTCATGTAATATATTGTATTTAACTGATCTTTTGTCATTTAAAGAAGATTTTTCCCCTTAATGTTACTAATAGTGCTGTGAGTAAATGTCCTTTTACCTAAATATTTATGTACATTTATAATTACTTCTTTAGGATAATTTCTGAGAGGTGAAGTTGTAAGTTCAATAGGTATAAATGTCTTAAGCCTTTGTACATAATCCTTCAAAAAGCTTAAACCAATTTATATTCTAGCAATAATGTCACCTATAAGAAAGCCTCTTTTCTCAACATTGTATAGTAAGGTTGGACATTTTGAAACTTTCTGTTGGTTTATTAATTTCTTTGGACAGTAGTCTTTCATGAAATGAGAAATCACTGTCATAAAGTTTTCACCTGTCAGTGGCATAATAGACATCTTTTAACTCAATCTGATTTTGAAAGCTATTGTGTATCTTTTTATTAATATATACACCCCGCAAGAATCTCCTGTGTATTAGTTGTTTATATAGCTGCCACCTTGCCAGAAATGGTCAAGTAAATTAGAGAAAAAGTAGATGATGCAGGTTGTTAAGATAAACTATCATTGCTTTTATTTATTCCTTCAACGTCTATTCAGGGAAGAGCATTTGAAGTTTTTTTGAAGGTCCACATGAAGAATAACCTGTGTGTCCTATGTGTTTTAATTTTAACAGAGGCTAGTATTACTAGCTTGAAACAGGCTGCTTTAGTCAAAGCTCCACTCATTCCAACTCTGAATACAATCGTGCAATATCTAGACCTCACTCCAAATCAGGAATACTTGTTTGAAAGGATCAAAGGTAATTATTGATTTGAAGAGGGAAAAAAAATGACAACTGTTTCACTACTTTGAAATTTTATAAAGGTAACATGGGAAAGAAATTTTTTTTCATTATTAAGTATCACTAAGTATGATCTTACTTTATAAATACACATTATGGCTTCATTAAGGCTAATACTTGGACAAGTTTGGGGTTTTATATTTCATATGCTTAAAAATGGTCAAAATAATGTAGTTATCCTTGAATACAGTAATAATTTTGTCCTATATAGGGAAACTTAAATATGAGCTAAATGGGCTTACATGAGTATTTCATTCGTTTTCTATTCTTAAACCACCAAGAATGGATGCCACAATGACATTCTTTTATTTGCTGATCTTATTTCTTTCAGTTTTTATAAGTCATGTGTAATATGTTGCTTCTTTATATTTCTGTTATAGTCTGATTGTTTGGGGAAAATAATCCTGGTTATTTTCCTGGGTTGGGAAGATCCCCTGGAGAAGAGAATGGCAACCCACTCCTGTATTCTCACCTGTAAAATCCCGTAGACAGAGGAGCCTGGCGGGCTGCAGCCTGTGAGGTCTCAAAGAGTCAGACATGACTGAGTGACAGAGCATGTGCGCGTGTATACATGTACACAGTCTTCTTGGGAGACTAACTTGAGAATCAGGGTATCTGGCCTCCCTGATACCCCCACATACTCTGTTTATGCCTCCCTACATTTATTTGGATACTCTGTAAAATGGTCTCATCACTAAAACAAGTTTTAGAAATATTATCTCACTTTTTAGATTTATCATAAATCTTAATTTGCAAGCGTTATGTTGCCCCTTCTGTATTCTAGGTTTAGACTAGGGTTCAGGAATAAACATTTATCATGACTTTTTTTTTTTTTTTTTAAGTATAATTGCTTTATAATGTTGTGTTAGTTTCCACCATACAAGTATACATATATCCTCCCCTCCCTCGGGAGTCTCCCTCCCATCACTGCCCCCAAGTCCCACCCCTCTAGGTCATCACAGAGCACGGAGCTGAGCTCCCCGCGCTGTTTCTCAGCTTCCCACTAGCTAGCTGTCCTACACATGGTAGTGTATGTCAGTGCTACTCTCTCAATTCGTCCCACCCTCTCCTTCACCCCAGAAATGTTCTGTATAAGGAGAATTAAAACATATTTAAAACTAGTCACAGGAGTCTGCTCAGCCTTCTTATACCTAGCACCCAGTTCTAGCAGCCATCAGTCCCTGTGCAGCCCTTACCCTTTCCATATTCCCAGCTACATCCTCCCTTCCTGCATTATTTGAGGCCAGTTCTATATGTCATCATCAGATTATATGCAAGGATCTTGATATGTATCTGTAGAAGAAGAAAAGGCCTTTTAAAAAGAGAACCACAGTGATCACACCTCATGAAGTATATAGCTTATATACATAGCCAGGTGGCACAGTGATAAAGAATCCGCCTGCCAATGTGGGGAAACCCAGGTTTGATCCCTGGTTTGGGAAGATCCCCTGGAGGAGGAAGTGGCAACCCACTGCAGTGTTCTTGCCTGGAAAATCCCATGGATAAAAAAGTCTGACAGGCTACAGTCCATGGGGTTGCAAAGAGTTGGGCACAACTGAGTGACTAACTCTTCACTTTGCCTCATACTAACAGGATATTTATACATCCAAAAAAAGATGTGTGTGTGCACATATATACAGAGTGTGTGTGTGTATATATATATGTCAAGTATACAAAAATGTTTAACAAACACAGTGAACATTTATATGGGGCTTCTAGATTGAACAATTATCATCCTTTTACCATATTTGATTCTCTCTATATATACATACACATGCATTTTACATATACACACATATTTTTTTTTGCTCTAACATTGTGGACATCATTACTTCTCAGCACATGAGTTCCTAAAAGTAAGAACATTCTACATAACCGTAATGCAATTATCAGACCTTAAGAATGAATATTTCTATATCTGATAATCCAGTTTATATTCAGATTTCCCAGTTGTCCAGAGACTGTTATATACCCCTTTTTTTTCTAACTGGAATAGTTTATGTTCACACATTACATTGTGTTGCTTTCTCTTTTTTTGGTCTCTTTGTCTAAAACAGTTCTGCCAACTTTTTTTCCCCCATGTGACATTGCCTTTTTAAGAATCCAGAACAGTAATCATGTTTTACATTGGATTTATCTTATTCTTTCTTCATGGTGCTATTTAAATTAATTTTTTTATATCGTGTATTTCTTTGTTTTAATGTTTTGATTGGGTTTTTAAGATGACATGCTTTCCTTGTTGTAACCTCTTAGCCTGTTTCTCCTTCTTTCTTATACATTCTTAGCTTTTTTAATTTCACCTCTGTTGCTACAGAACTTTCTCAGGGAGGCTGTATGAGCTCATTTCGATGGAATAGAGGTGGAGACTTTAAAGGTCGCAAGTGGGATACAGACCTGCCCACTGATTCTGCTGTAAGTCCTCAGTTTTATTTTGTTTTCTCAGTTTGACATTTTTGTTATGGGTCTATTTTTCCATTATAAAATAAGCATTAAAAGAACTTAGAGGGAATTCCCTGGTGGTCCAGTGGTTAGGACTCACTGCTTTTACTGCTGTAAGCCCAGGTTCAATCCCTGGTCAGGGAACTAAGATCTGCAAGCTGCATGCCATGGCTGAAAAAGAAAAAAAAAAATTGAAAAAAATGTTTTTAAATAAAAAAACTTTAGAAATTAAGTAGAAATAAAAAATTAAAATTGTACTGGCATCTTAACCCAACCACTGTTAATATTTTGGTGTATTTTCTTATTTTTTCTTTACTTAGATTGTGCTATTTTTAATGTTTTTATGATAGATGTAATTGTAAAATTTGTGTCCTGCTTTTTTTCACTTTTCAGTGTTTAAGTATTTGCATTATTACTCACTGTCATTTAACTGACCTAAAAGTTTTGGAAATATGTAGTGGCGGGGGGGATTTTTGTTTTTCTATCTTAAATACTGTCGGGAGTAACATAATGTATGTTTCTTTTTAATTTGGGGTTATGACTTTAAGAAAGATTCCTAGAATTAGATTTATGAGATCAAAGACTATAAAGTTTTGAGCATTTAAAAGTTTCTCAAAATTATGTTTGTTTTTTTTAAATGACTGTTGCATGTGAAAATGAAGTTTTAAATGCTGATACTCAAGAATTGAATATATGTGTATTTTATCTTGATTTTGCTGTTAATTAACTATATGAGGGTGAATAATCCACTTAACACAAAAGTAGGAATGTCTTTTATCTTTTCATTTTATAGATTTCATCTTACAAATAGAACCACTTGAAAGCATTTTTGCTAATTCTTTCTCTGGGGAAAAATTTAAAAAATTGCAATCATTATAAACAGATGTTTGAAAAGTACCACACATAGGTTTTCTTTTTTTTTTTTTTTTTCATTTATTTTTATTAGTTGGAGGCTAAATACTTTACACACATAGGTTTTCATGCTGACTTTGAAAAATTATTTCTTTGTCTTCAGATCATCATGCATGTATTTTGCACCTACCTTGATTCCAGATTACCTCCACATCCTAAATATCCTGATGGAAAAACATTTACTTCTCAACACTTCGTTCAGACACCAAATAAACCAGGTATAAACAACCTCTCCTAAAAGAATGAGTTGAGCTTTTCACATGAAATAATGTAGTGGGGGCTTTTTGTTCATTTTTTAATGTAGCCTATTTTCCTTTACAGATGTGACAAATGAGAATGTTTTCTGCATTTATCAGAGTGCTATCAACCCTCCCCATTATGAGCTAATCTACCAGCGTCATGTCTACAATCTTCCAAAGGTACTTCTAAATATAGCAGTTGCTATTACTAATGGTCATGGATGACTTGCTTTGATATTTCTTTTAAAATTAGATTCTCTTTATGAAATAGGTAAACTTCTTAAGTTAGGGAGAAAGTGCTATTTTTATATACCCCTTTTTTAAAAATTCTGAAAGTAATGTATACTTAATTTGGAAAAGTATGAAGAAAAGGAAGAAAAATTCATTCCATTACTTAGAGGAAGCAGTTACTATTTGGTGTTTTTTTTTTTTTTTTTTTTTTAAATTTCATTTTGGTCTTTCTTTGTACTTTTTTATGGGTTGAAATCATATTTGTATAGTGTTATATCCTTTAAAAAACTAACATAACATAATTTTCCATGACTTTAAAAGTCTTCATAAAAACACTTTTTAATGACTATTTTAAAACTTCATAATAAAGATATAATTTATGAAACCAGCCACTCCCTGCAGTTGGATATTTTGGATGTTTCTAATCCTTCATTGTCATAAATACCTTTATGTATATGACTATCTGTATTTTGGGTAATTTTTTAGCTCAAAGTCCAAAAGTGGAATTCTAGGTAATAGAATATTTTCAAGGCTGTTAGAATATATTATCAAATTCCTATATGAAAAATTTTATTGTACCAGTTTACACTTCTATCCAGGCATTTTACTCTTAATTATAAACATCAGTTCTGTTGATGACCTTTGTGATTATTTTGTTACCAGCATCTTTACTAAAGAAATTTTATGTAGACTAAATCATAAATTGTATCCTTCATTCTGTCAGATACCCAGGAGAGGATATTTCATTTTTTTTTAAGTTTAATGTTTCAGCTTTGTAAGTGTAAATAATTTAGGCCATTTAAAGAAACACTATCTTTAAAAATCATATATCCTAAAGATATTTTAGTCAAAACACTTAAATCAGAGTGGACAGGTATAAGGTAATCAGTAAACTGAAAATCTAAATCAGGAGCTATTAATAGTTTGATTTTAGTGCTAGCAAAATGCTGCCTTGTCCCTTGTAGATAAAATAAATTTACACTTAATATATTAAACTGTTATATATCATAATGTATTTTATTTATTTTTTAAATATTTATTTATTTGGGTGAGTTGGGTCTTTGTTGCAGCATGTGGGATCTAGTTCCCTGACCAGGGATCAAACCTGGGTCTCCTGCACTGGGAGTGCAGAGTCTTAGCCATTGGACCACCAGGGAAGTCCCCATAATGTATTTTAAAGTGTGATTAAAGGTTTTTTAATCTCAACACTTTTGTTTAAGCTGTTAATTTTTGGGATAGTGTTTTGTGTGTAGGATATAGGGGTACTAACTTCAGAGTATCTCCCATCCAGTCCTTCGTAAATGCTGCTCCCCTTGTGTGAACTTCCCAGTGTGTTTATTTCTGCTTATCTTTCAGGTCTCAACTTAAAAATATCTCTTCTCAGGGAGGCGTTGCTTCACTGCTCTGGTTTTATGTGTCTGTTCCCATGGCACCCTGCACCTCCTCCTCTCCCATAACATTCATCACATGTCAGTTCTGAGTCTCCTTCTGCCTTTCCTTCTGCTGGACTTTAAGCTCCTTGATTGCATGGATCCTCTCTGATTTATTCGCCACAGAAGTCCCACTTACAGCACCAAAGTAGGCACTTCATTTAATGAATGAATGGAAGCCGGAATTACATGGAATTCTGAATTAACAGAATGTAAATTGATAGGATCCGCACTTACCTCTCAGACTGAATTTTTATTTTAGTTTGGTTTAAATCTTGCTGGGTCTTTTCCTTTGTTCCAGGGCCGAAATAATATGTTTCATACGTTGTTGATGTTTCTCTACATTATAAAAACCAAAGAGTCAGGAATGCTTGGGTAGGTATTTATGCTTTTAAAATACAAGTACTTATTTCATACAGTTTTTCTTATGTTCGGATTCTGCAGAAGGCAGCATCATATACTGAAAAGATTTGTGGACTAAACAATTCAAGACATGGCTTCTACTACTGGCTCAGCACTTACACTAACCAGTTCTGCCATCTTGAGCAAGTCCATTAATTCCTTGGAACCTCCATTTCCCTATGAATAAAAAGGAAATTCAACCACATTATTGGCTTTTACAGCGGTGTCCCCCAGAGGGACAATTTGGATATATCCAGCTCTCGCCACTTTAAAATTAAAAAAAACAAACCAACCAACTGGAGTCCTGTTTGTTCAGGCTATCCCATTTCAGACACAGAGCCTTCTGCAAAATATTTACACTTCCAAAGAGACTGACTCAGCACCCGTTCCATAATACTGTTAATTGGAGTGGAAAAATGGTCAGTTGAAATTATTTACTTTGTGTCTTCTAAATATTTAGTAATGAAGCTCACATACTGTTACAGTAAACTCAAAATTGCTGTCTTGTCATTTTGGTGATTTGAAATTTCAGTGCTTTAAAACAATATGTGAAGTAAATGGACCCCAGCTAATGCTGGATAAATCTGGTAATGCATGGGCTAGAAGTCTGAGAATCTGGGTTCTGGGTGCATCTCTGCCTGCACTAAGTAACCTGAGCCTAAAAAAATGAAAAGGGACGAGCTGAATAGAAAGCATCAGTCTCTCCAGCTCTGATCTGCATGTTTCTGTTCAGTTCTATTTACATGTCCTATTTAATACAGGTTCTAGAACGGCACTGTCCTACACAGCAGCCACCAGCCACATGTGTGTGGCATTGAGTGTTTGAAACATGACTAGTTTAGGTTGAGATGGGCTGTCAATGTAAAAGATCCCCTGGGGGAGGAAATGGCAACCCACTCCAGTATTCTTGCCTGGGAAATTTCATGGACAGAGGAACCTGGAGGGCAACAGTCCACGGGGTTGCAAAGAGTCAGACATGCTGAGCATGTACACATGCACTACAGTGTGAAATACGCAGACTAGAATTTAAAGACCTAGTATCAAATAATGAAGTAAAATATCTCGTTAATAATTTTGTATATTGATTACATGTTGAAATAATATGTTGGATATACTGAGTTAAATGAAATATATTATTAAAATTATTTTCCGTTGTTTCTTTTTACTGTTTAGTTTTTAAGGTTATATATTATATTCTGTTGGACAGCACTGCACTGGAGAAAGACAAACTCCTGTCTTAATTAAACATATTAGATGCAAAGATTTTGGGGGACATAAACTGAAATTTATAAACAGCTTTCTAAGAAATTTATCAGCTTCCTGTGGCATGTATTTTTTTAATGTAAGAAAGATTAAATAAGAAACTCGTTTTTGTCAGGCATCTCTGCTACCGTGGTTCTTTTTTATTTTTTAATTACAAAAATAACGCATGCTCAATATAGAAACATTTAAACAATACAGCAGTGTATAAACTAGAAAGTGAAAACTCCCCTGTGATCAGCTTGCTCTCAGTGCCACTCCTTCAGGGTATCCACTGGGTTATCAGTTTGAGGTGTATGTTTTTCTAGTTACTTTATGGGGAAAGTTGATTTTGTTTTTATTTTTCATTTTGTTTAAAAATATATTGTACCCAAACATATTACCTTGTGAGCTGCCTTTTAATCTTATGGTATAGCTTGGATTTTTTCTGTGTTAATAAATACACTTTTTTCCTAAATTTTCTAGCAGCATTTGGTTATAGATATACATGTATTAGAAAGATGGAATGTGCTGTGGTTTTGTAATTCTTCATTTAAAAGTGTTTCTGGAAGTCTATTTTTTGAAGTGGGAAATTAATTTAGCAGTATTTTAAATAGTGAATTTTTTATTTTAATTGAAAATTTATGTTTTCCTCTGAAAATCCAAATCGATAATTGATACAAGCTTGTGTTGAGTGCCATATGTAGTTTGTCAAATACATACAAATGTAAAATCTTTAAAAGTACTTAGTGGGGCAGTGATTTACTCAGAGGCCCAAAAGAATTGATACAGTTCTTAAAGTGCTTATCTTCTCTGACTGAGCCCCTTATATGTGGAAACATAAGTGAAACATTTTAGACTAAAACTAATCTGTGTTTTATTTATTTGGGATTCTTTTAATCCAGGGGGAAAAAACTTTGAAATTACTAGCTTTTAAAATATGATTGATCTTTTTAATACATTGTAGGACAACCAAATGTTAAAAACTGCCTTCCTGCATCACAAAGGAAATAAGCAAGCGGCTCAAATATAGTCCACTTGGAATCATGCCCATAATATGGCAGATTCATTATCAATTCAGTGCCACGTATTTGTGCAGTTACTGGAATGAGATGAATGTTTTACTCCCAAGAAGGAAAAAAATCTAGACAGAATTGACTGCACAGTAAAGTGTCCTGTTTAGCAAAAGACACCATAAATGAAGTTTGAAACTAAGTGACAAACTGAGTCAAGGCATTATAATTGTAATGCTTAGAACAAAGCTAAGTTAATATCCATCATATATAAAGAGCACGTAAATTAGAAAAGAAAAATACAGAAAATGGTCAAAGACATGAACGAAAGACTTTTTCATAGAAGAATGTTGTGCAGATGGTTGATAAACCTGAAAAGAGGCTTAGTCTCATTTACAAGCAAGCCAAAATTAAAAATTTGTTTTTTCCCTATCATACTGAAATTTCTCATTTGCCATGTTGAGGATATGGAGAACTGAGAAAACACAGTTGATGAAACTTTGAAGGGCATTTTTGGTACATTAAAAAAAAAAATTTATCAAAATTAATACATACTCATAATTTTTAAAGTTACAGTGTGCTCAAATTTCATGACAGAAGTAAGGCATTCCCAGTATTCCCCAAGCCCACCTCCCAAAAGCAACTGCTTAAAATTCTTCTGGCCCCAGATAGTGGAGATGTGTAGTGCCCCTTTGACTGTCACCCTGTTAGATGGGTCATTGTTCTCTTGCAGCCCTCTTCTCCTTCCCTCTTACTTTGAATACAGCTGTATTACTCTCTGGAGTAGATTTTTCTGTATATTATGTGCAGTAAGGCTTAATTTAAGCTATATTAGTAATACCCATATTTACTGAAGTATCCCAAATAATTAGAAAGCGTCTAATTGAAATCAAATATGTAAAGTTCTCTAAGAGGCCTAGCACCTCTAAATCTCCATTTTAAAAAATTTAATTGACACTTTTACTTACTTGCTAAAATTGTCCTGTTAACTCTACCTGTTGTAATAGTTCTTGAGTTCCACTGAAAAATTAATTTTCAGCACTCCATAAACTGTTCTAAATTTGGGTTTTAAGCACAGGTAAGAAAGTAATTACTGTTACTAGAATTCACCTGATAAACCATGTATAATATAACTGATTGCAGAAAATAGCACTAAATGTCAATTAAACTTGTATTCCTTGTAAAGACTCCTGTTATTTGGGGGAAAAAAAGACCTTAAATGCTTGGCAATCAATTTCACTAATTTTTTTTTCTTCCTTTTTTAGGAGAGTTAATCTTGGCCTATCTGGTGTGAATATTTTGTGGATTTTTGGAGAGTAGTGGATAATTTAATTCCAAATATTTGGACTTTATTTGACTGAATCAAAAGTTGAATCTAAGCATCTGAGTCACTGCTCCTTCTGATATAAGATACTATGTGTATGTTATAGACTCTTTAGATATACACAGAAAATTGCTAGTATGAAACATATTCTACACCAAGAAAATTACCTTCAATTTTTTATCATTTCAGAAAAAAACACAACCCTTCAGATTTTTGTTGAGCAAAACACTGCAGTTACCCCTTAATTAATTTGAGTCCTTCTTCATTGTAACCACCAAATAAGAATCATTCACCTGATTGTTCCCCACAAAATTGTTTTTTCAGTTGAGTTATTTAGTATAAATAATTAAAAAGAAACAAGCAAATTGCTCATTTTTTTAAAATGTCTATTTCCCCAGTATTTGGCAAATCAGCCCAAGGCCCAGATTTAAAGAAATGAGATAAACTTCTAAATAATGTTAATTCTTGTGTATTTTTAAAATACCACTGAAAGAGATTTGATGGTATTAATGTTTAAAAAGTCAGCTCTCTATGAAGTTCACAGTTTTTGAACATGGTTTGAAAAATGCTGCATGGTCTCTGTGATGCCCTCGCCCTTTCCACTCCAGTCTTGCCTTACCTCTCTCCTTCCCTGCCCCAGCCAGGCTGGCCCTCTCAGTGGCCTCCATGCACTCCCACTGCCTGAGACATTCCTGCCCCACTCTTGGTCTTTCTGACCCTCCTCAGTACCCTTATAAGTTCTGCCTAAATGTTACTTTCCCAAGGGATTATCCCTCCCGGTCCCCTTTCCATTCCCACCACCACCACCACCACCCAAGTCCCCCAGGCCCTCTGACTGTTCTCTCTCCCGGTACCTTTCAACTTAGCTTCTTATCACCAAGAAGTGGTTTGAAATCACACTTGGCACGTGCATCTCTTTATGTCTCTTTACACCTGAGCTGTTCAATTCCAGCAGCCACCTAAGGCTTTTAAGTACTTGAAACACACCTTGTCTGAATTGTAATGTGCTGTGAATGTAAAATTACATCAAAGACTTGATGTGAATAAAAGACCATAAACTAAATAGAAAAATAAAAAGTCAACTTGGGTTAAATTTAGCTGATAGAATTAAACTATTTAGGTCTTAGTCAAGAGGCTGAAGACATCAGGAAAACAATTGCCTTGGTTTTAATAACTCGGTTTCACTGTTCCCTAATACTGAGTTCCGTTCTTTAAGATCATATGCTATCTTATCTGTTTAGATTTCTTAGATGTGTTCAAAATATCTGGAGAGTAGGAAATTACCAAGTTTGTAAGTTTTCCTTGACTCTCCATCTATTTTTTTAAATGTATAAGTAGTATATCTAAGGCTAGCTAGCATCTGTGTATGTTTTCTGGGTTGACATATTATTATAGACTGCTTTACCTGGAAAACCAGTATCTTCTCCAAAACTCCATGTTGGTGTTATATATGCTGCTGCTTTTGTATATTTGTAAATCTTTTTCCTGCTTTTAAAAAGTCAGATGTCAAAAAAAAGGAGGTCTCTATCTTATAACTGCTTTTGATATGTGCTAAATTTGTTTGTTAGGATAAAATATCAATTGAACATGTTAAATATAAGAACATGTTACAATCTAAGCCTACCATTTCAAAAGTTTGTGTATCTACTTCACAATTATAAAAAATAAAAGATAATGTGTCATTTCTTATATTAAAGTTTATGTGTCAAAAATGCAATATATATACTAAGTATTTCACATAAAGTCTAATGGTACATGTTAAAAAAGGAAAGACTGTGTTTGCCTACTAAGGGTGGTATGGGTTACTATACTCTGGGTAGCTTTCATATATTAGTTTGTCTTCACAAATGTCTCAGCCAACATATACTTATTATAGCTTTTATTAAAAATACTTTAATGAATTAGTTTGAATTCATACTTCAGGAACATACTGCATTGCAAATGTAAATTTTTTGGTACTTCTGAGTAATCTTTTCTCTAATGTTATTTATAGTATATTTCTTAAAATTTTTCTTCACTTGACTCATCCTTATGGGGTCAAATACACTTAATCTTCTAGATTATGTTCACTGTATCATTCTTTTTTCTTTATGAATATCAGCCTTTTCTTCAGCCAGATTTTTTTTAGAAGCATGTTTAGGTGTTTATAATTTAGTTCCTACTGTGACAATACTGTGTTGCTTGGCTTTCTCAAACAGATACACACTTAAAGCTGATATTTCAGTGGTGAAGACAAGCAGCATATATATAGTTGGCACTTCTAAACTCAGCTTTGTAATATATATATATATATAATATATATATATAAATCCTTTGAATGAGGGCATTCCTTAAAGGTCAGGCTTTGGTCCTCTGTCTCACTGTTTATGCTTTTTCTTCAAGGTCTCATTCATTCTATGACTTACCCTGCACTTGATTCCCAAGTTTATCACCAACTGTAACTGTCTCTCCTGAGCTCTAGTGTTAAATTTCCTGTGACCTGTCAGACATTTCCACTTGGATATCCTGCACATTCTTCATGTGTGGCACTGAATTCATATGTACTGAAACAGCTCCCTCTTCTCATATCCCTTTCTCTGTTCATTGTCCTACTAGTCGCCCACACTCAAAACTCTGCTTTCATCTTGATTCCTTGAGCTCCCTGGGTCCCCAGTCCAATCAGGCAGCAATCTCATCCATTCTTTCTTAACAATGTCTCTTGCAGCTGTCCCTTTCCATCTCTGCTGCCACTATGCTCATTTATATCCTTATCAACTCACATAGGACTACTACAACAGCTTAATTAATCTCACACCTTCCTAATTGTTGCCATGCTTCCAGATTTTCCACTTCATCCTGCATGTCCTCCTCAAATTCATTTTCCTAAAACACCTGTTTGATCAGTTTTGTTCTGGTAAATTCCTTGGCCTGACATTTAAAGCCCTCCACAGTGTGGCCCGAGGCTAGCCTTATCCACCTGGATCCTTGGCTTTAGTCAATGTAGGCTGCTCCTTGCTGGGCTCTCCGCACATGTACCTCCTGCTCTTCCTGGTCTCTGGGATGTCCCCTCCCCCTCTGCCCTTCCCTTGAGACTTTGCTCTAATTAAACCTACTATTTGGGGGAGTTGATCCTGACCGCTGCAGCTGGCATTAATTTCTCCTCCAAAGTGATTAGGTCTTTCCCCCTTTTTTGGCACTCAGCAGCCATATGAGTGAATTGAGAAGTGACTTTTAGTCTTGGTGGGTTCTCATAGCTTGTCTCATCCAGTGTTCCACTGGTCTGAGCCGTGCTGCTGTTCAGGCCGAGTTTGACGATGGCTAAAGCAATACTTCAGCCACCTCAAGGAAAGAGTTGACTCACTGGAAAAGACCCTGATGCTGGGAAGGATGGGGGCCAGAGGAGAAGGGGACGACAGAGGATGAGATGGCTGGATGGCATCACCGACTCGATGGAAATGAGTTCGAGTAAAGTCCGGGAGTTGGTGATGGACAGGGAAGCCTGGCGTGCTGCAATTCATGGGGTCACAAAGAGTCGGACACAACTGAGCAACTGAACTGAACTGAAAGCTACCTTTTGGGAAAGGCTTGAGTTCTTTTCAAAGGATATCTTTTGAGCAGCAAGGAGCACTGGCTTTCCTTTTGCAGCCAGACTGTAGCCTGCTAGGCGCTTCTGTGCATGGAATTCTCCAGGCAAGAATACTGGAGTGGGTTGCCATTTTCTTTTCCAAGGGATCTTCCTGACCCAGGGATCAAACCCAGGGTCTCCTGAATTGCAGGTGGACTCTTGCCATTTCATCCACCAGGGAAGCCTGTAACACTAAGAAGGAGGAAACATTTCTCACCTGAAGTGTAGCGGGGACACTGCCTAAAAAGTGTAGGCGTTAGGAAAACACACAGCCAATTCCTTGTACTCTTGGGGAATCTTCCTTAATGATCTGGTGTGAGGCCGTTGCACTTAACAGCAGCACATTGGCCCAGATGCTACAGGGTCCACTGTGAGGACCTGGGAGAGGTCAGCTGGCCCAACCATCTGTCCAGGTGGCTTCAGTCACAGCACTCCCCAGGTTATAAATAGGGCCAAGCAGCAGAGAGCTGGGATCTCCCGCAAAAAGCCCTTTGGGAAGGATCTGGGAGCGGGTGGGGGGAACAGGTGGTTGTCTGGCCACTTGGAGTGAGAGCAGTTTGCACAATCAGCACCTGTGCTTCTTAGGCCCCAGTGACATTGCCGCGTCTCACTGTGTATGCCAGTGGCTTTGTGCTGAGACTGCAGGATTGTTAGGCATTAGCTCTGAGCCACGTCTCTTAATTTGATCCCTGAATGGTCATCAGTAATTCCATTTCCACACCGAATGAACCGCACTGGCCTGGGGAATAGGTTATGGATTCTATGGAGGGTGGCACCTCAGTCAGCCTTAGGAAGAAGAGTCCAGTACGGCAGGATAGGTATAGAGAACAACCTCATGTGTGCCCAGAATCCTGTTTGCCCAGGACAGCAGTGATCCCAGAGATATTCCACAGCAAAGTCAACATGCAAACAATCTCAAGCACTGCTAAGGATGAAATGTAAAGTTATAACTAAATCCTTTCATGCCCCCAAAGCAAACTGGATATTCCACAGTCCATCTGGCTAGAAGAGCCACTGGCTTGAACCAGCTGTGACTTGGAAGGACTGAACTCTGTCACTGTTGGGGCAGGGCAGTTAACCTTTTACACTGATTTCTGGGCATAAGAAAGATATTCATACCTCAGTGATCACTGAGAAGCTGAATGAAAACAATCAGTGTGCTTTAGGGTAAGGGAAAAAAATGGACTTAAAAAGTCTTTCAGGGGACTTCCCTGGTGGTCCAGTGGCTGAGACTCTGTGCTTCCAATGCAGGGAGCACGAGTTCAATGCCTGGTCAGGGCACTAGATCCCACATGCTGCAATTAAGATAGAAGATCCTGCATTCCTCAACTAAGACCTGACATGGCCAAATAAGTATTTTTTAAAAAATAAAAAAGTCTTTCAGAATAACAT